TCTCTCTCTCTCTCTCTCTCTCTCTCTCTCTCTCTCTCTCTCTCTCATTCCCTTGAGACAGGGTTTCTAATTAAACATGAAGCTAAGCTAGTATCCATCAATCCTCAGTGACCCTCCTATCTCTTCCCCAACCCACAGCACCACGTTACAGCACACAAGACCATGCCCAACTTGTTTTCATGGGTTCTAAGTACTCAGATTAAGGTTTCCATGCTCACAGAGAGCACTCTTATCTGCTGAGTTACCTCCCTGGCATCAGCCTTGTCTCTTGAGAAAAATAAAGTATATGCACTTCTGAGTGGGATTGTGCATTGAAGTGGAGGTGCTCACTGAGCCCAGGAATGTCAGATATCCCCTGGAGCTGGAGTTACAGGTGACTGTGAGGTGCTTTTTGTGGGTCTTGGGAACCAAATTTGCATCCTCTGGCAGAGTAATAACCACTAAGCCCTGGTTGCATCTTTTAAATGACAAAGTACTTGATTCATATTGGTAAATACTCATTTAATTTTGATAAAATTCCTTTTATTTGTGAACTCAATTAGAAAATTTAAATTTTGTTGAACAGAGTCCTACTATCCTGCTTAGTGGGTGGTATAGTGGTCCAGCCCAGGTTACCTTTCCATTTTGCTATCCATTGCTCCCCATTGAGAGGGCTGGCTCACAACAGTTCACAGTTGTTCTGATCCTAGGGAATTACCTATTGGCTGAGAATGCACTTTTTCTTTGCATTCCCTACCCCCAACACTGCTCACTACATACTTCAGACAACAACAGACTACCCACTTGCCTCAAAGTGGGACTAACTCAGGTACAGTGTGTGTTCTATGCTGTCAAAGAAAAGTGTGTCTGTCTTTAGTAGAATTATCATTTTTACTTATGCCATGACCTATAAATGACTACACTTGCATTCTTGAAAGCATTCTCATTTCCCTTTCAGGCTTTACTTCTATAAACAAGGCATGTGGTACCACAGATATTCCTGGAATGAGGTTCTGGAGTTAGATCCTTCATTTGTTAGATTGCGATGAGAACCCTGTAAGTCTACGATGAGTCAGGTCTTGAAGGACCTAACAGTATAGTTGCTAAGGTATATGAGCTGGGATAAAACACATGAGAAAGGATGCCTAGGCTGGTGCCACATTTTGGGAAGTCAAGATGTACAAGGAAGCAAAATCTATAAGGACTCACAGAATTCGTTATCTGGAGAGAATTTCCTTTTAAAAAGAACACTGTCTTTTGCAGATGGAAAACACATGTGTGAGTCAGAAGCAGGGCTTAATCAGAAGGTAACTTAACTTCCAAAAACTTAAAATCTGAGCCTAAGTAAGGCCTAAGGCAAGGCCATTTTAGAGAAGGAGTGGGATTCCAAGATGTGCAGTGAGGGAGGGAATGTCCTCCAGAACCTCTGGAGGCTGAGGTATCCTCTGGTTTCTTGAATCCTGTAGAGCTAACTTCCTCCACTTTGTTGGTGATGGAAGACCATAGCCTTACCAATGTTTGAAGACCACAAGGAGTTTAAATGAGGCAGGATACCCTACAGATGACAGCAGATCCTCTGGCCCCAGTATGGATAATTTGGCTCAAAATACAGCATGATCCAAATCTTCTAATAGTGAATTTGAGGATTGCCTTAATATATGCTGTCTGGAACTAGAGAGTAGCTTTCTCAGTGGCCCCAAGTAATGCTGTGTTGAGGAAGTAAAGCAGGAAGCTTGATAAGAGAGTTTATCTGTCTGGGAGACACTCTTCTGTGACACAAGATTTAGTACCTTGCAAAACTGGGCTAGCATTCAGAAGTTTGGAATAAACCATAGATCATATTAGACAAAATCCAAGCCATGTAGGAGAATTGTTGGAGCAAACTGCAGAGAGAGGGAAAATACTACAGAAGACTGGAAAAGTTAAGGATCTGGGCATGATCCCCAGGAAAGCCTAGAGGACTCTATTTACAACATGGTAAGCAATGTGTTAGTGAGGAAGGCACTAGCATCATTGGTCATCTTTTGACGGCTTCTAGGGGACCCAGCTATGGAACTGGGCTTTGTACAGCAGTGGCAACAGTGTCCATAGCTGATAATCAAGGACAGGTGATGACAATCAGAATCTTATAACACTCAGAATCAGGTAGGTGTTATCACTGCCGTGGGACAAATTTGCAAAAGTAGACAGTGTGCATCATCCAAAGGTGTGAAGATACCTTATGTAACACAATGTTCTTGATGGCAATAAAGAAGAGCAACCAATAACCTTATTGCATATCTCCGTATCTATTCTTATGACTACAATATCTCAAGTCGGGGATAAAAGGCTGAGGTCAGCCGACTTAATGAAAATTGTATCTCTTACCTGCTTTCACAACTGAGATAGTTCTCAGACTTGAAGGCAATCCATAAAGTGATCAAGAGATATCCACCCTTGATGAGGATCTCTGAGCCTTAGTGGCAGTGCCAAAATGTGTGAAGATCTTGTTCCAGCTAAGCTTCCATGAACAGACATAGACTATGTGCATTGGTTGTCTAAATAAGTATCACCGTTAAAAAATAACACATGGGAAATTCATTAATTAGCAATTTAATCTTGACAAACCTATCTTGCTGATCCTGACAGTAGTCTAGCAGGTCACCATTGTATATTTGCAGTGACCCAGTCAACCCCATTCTCTAAGAAGTCACAGAATGTCTGATTCATGCGATCTCCACAACATTGTCCACTCTGCATAAAAGGAGATACTGCTGTGCATTCATCACTACAACCTCCACTGCTCCTCCATCCTAGCACAGCATCTCAGTGACTACATGCTGTGGGATGTCTTTCTGTACACTGTGAATATGTGTTATTCCCATTAGCTAATAAATAAAACTGCATTGGCCTATGGCAGGGCAGGATGGAGCCAGGCCAGAAAACCCAAGAGAGACAGTGAAAGGAGAAAGGAGAGTAAGGGGAGATGCCAGCCTGCCATCCAAGGAGCAACATGTAATGGGATGAAGGTAAAGTCATGGAACATGTGGCAAAATTTAGATTAATAATTATGGGTTGAGTTAACTTCTAAGAGCTAGCTAGTAAGAAGCCTGAGCCATAGGCTATATAATTTGCAATTAATATTAAACCTCTGAGTAACTGTTTTAAAAGCAGCTGTGGGACCCCAAGGCCAGGTGGGACTGGAGAAATACAGGACTTCAGGACTGGGCAGGACACAGGAAAACTTCCGAGTACAACGATAAGCTTGTTGATCAATGCACAGCTAAAGTACCAGCTTTGAGAAGCCATCATGAAAGGCAAGGACATCATCTTAAACCACTAATCACTGTGTGATTTGGGGGTGGTGGGGAAACTACTTAGATTGTACTACTACTATTCAAACACACTATTTAAAAAATACAGAGTTACTGCTTTCTACTTCTGAAAATTTATTTATATGTGAAATTAGATGTCTTGGGATTTAGAAGAGAATGCTTCCACCAGGAGATAGAGCAAAATTGTTGTTTACTGAAGTTACAACTGCCACCTATTCTCTCTGTCCATCATCAAACTCACAAACAAAGAGTTTCAGTAAAATTGAATGGGTAGTTAACCCAGGTTATCATGAGGTAGTAGGATTTGTCCTGCACAATACAGTCAAGAAGGACTATATTTAGTATTTGGATACCTTAGAAGTACAAATTGGTAAATAGAACACTTATGGTCCAATAAATGCATAGCAATCAGGGATTCACAATGCCCTGGGGACAGGAATTCAAGATAACTGTGAGGTAAGTCATTGAAACAAAGAGTAGTCTTGGAGGGTAGAAAATATGAACTGGCATCAAATGTCAGAGATGCAAATATTAATTATTCCTCAATAGTGCAACAGGGACAATAGCTAATTCCAATCTTTAATACCTTACAAGTTCTCTTAAACAATGGAACTTATTAAGATGGAGTGAACTTAAGGTTAGAAGGAAATTCTATAAGTAGTACATTGGTGAGATTCTAGGTAGATTCTGCTGCTGGTGCACCCAGGTTTTAAACCAGCTGGTATATTCATAACTCACCTGCTGGGATGATGATTAGGACTATTTTTTCCCCAGAATTTTCTTATGCTAAACTCAAGCCACTGGCCTTTGGAGTCTATCTCATCTTTCTCCTTTGAGATAATCTTCAGCAAATATATTGCTTTAGGAATTTAAAAGGTAGGTCATCTGTCCTAAGGTGGCATGAAGTCAGTGGTACAGTGTTTCCTGTGGCATCAGGATGGATCATCTTGAGTTGAGACATCTTACTCCTGTTCTTTCTGCCTAACACAGCTCACAAATCCCATCGCCCAAGGATGCTTCGTGAATAAGACAGTTGAACAAAATTTTAGGAACCCTCACCCAATATACCCTGTAGCTATTATCCCTTAGTTCCTTTTTAAACTATGGTCCTTCAGATGACAAGAGAATTCTTAAAAGACAAAGAATGATGTAGCATGATGAGTTAATGAAAATTCATTTCCTGCCTTGAGAGCCCCTGGGCTCACCTCAAACTCTACTTTCTTGCTAGTCTCCCCACAATTCTGCTTTAGTTCTACGGTGACTTATAGAGAACTGCCTGAGAAACTTCTCAGGCCTGACATCACATTGAGGTTCTCAAAGACTTCCACCTTCCACAAGGCATTGTTCTGCTCTGACCCTGTGTTCCACTTCAGATCACTGAGGTACAATTGCCTACACTTGAGCCCCTGATTTGACAGCTCTGCTGTACTTCAGTCTATTCGAGAACGAAAGATCTCAGAGTTCACAGGAGTCTTGCTGTGAACTGCGCTTCAGGCCCTATGCCTTATTTCTACAACTGGTGTCTTGTTTCATGTTGCAAGCCCCCATATATGCTAACTGCTTAGTTTCCTTTCCAGTCTCCCATTTTTCCTCTTCTAAATTGGCTTGTGATAGTTCATCATCATTGGCAATCTGACAGGATTCAGAGTCACCTAGGAGATTGGTATTTCATCTGGACTTAAACATTGACCCCTGGAGGGAGGGTCACATGACTCAGGAAGCCAATGGGACTTACCAGGGATCAGAAGGCTTTCTAAATGTACAAGGTTCTCAAATCCCCTCAAGATTATATAAGCAATAAACAATTGCTGAAGGAGCAGAGAGTCTTTCATGGAGCTGCCTTCAAATTAGGCACAGAACTCTAGGGATGTGACATTGTAAGTTGCCACTCATGCTAGGATGGATTTTTCAGGGTTACTCCTGGCAAGGAGTTACACTTACTTCTAGAAATAAAGCATTAAGCAGATTGGCTCACACAGGCATACCTGTGTGAACTCATTTCTTTAGTCTGTCATTGGTGTCCTGTCTGGCATAAATAGACATTGGCCATGTCCCCCCAGGAGGAAGATCTGCTTTGAGTATAGTGACTCCATATTGTGTGCTGGTACTTAAGTGGAATGAAAGGGAAAAGGAGAAGCCGTCAAGGTCAGTACAGAGACTACAGGCTTTCAGTCTTTGCACCAGGACTGAGGCCTTATAATCACAGGGCTGTAGCCAGCGACAGTGTGTTCTCCGGCTGTGACTGTCACTCTTTAGTCTATTTCCATTTCAGCTCTCGTCTGTGAAGAGTTATGTGAAGAGGCCAGAGAGAAGGCTCATTTGGGAAGGTGCTGGACACACAAGCATGAGGACCACAGTTTGGATCATCCATGGGCGTCACCATTTGCTGGTCATCGTAGTCCTGGGTGTGCAGCATATAGATATGTGGATTCCCAGAGCTTGCTAACAAGGTCGCCATTTTAGCCTAACTGGTTTGGTTCAGGTTCAGTGAGAGACTCCATCTTATAAAATATAGTGCAGAGTACCTCTAACCTCCACATGTATACATAAATATGCATGTATACCATCACTTATACAGGTGTACACACACACACACACACACACTAAAATCAGGAATCTTCTTCCTGGCAATCTACTGAGAGAAGATTTGGAGGATAGGGTGATTAGAGGCAGGCATCACAGCCCTCCTGGAAAATTATGATTTGTGTTGCTCTGTTGTAGGGACTAACAAGTTCCAAAACAGGGTTCAGACAGTTTCCTTCAATAAAGAAATGCTGGCAACTAGGCCATGGGCATCTTTGTGCAATATATAGCTAAGGTTCCCAATAAAATTAAAACATCAAAGTCAGACATGGAGATGGACCTGGTGGAACGGACCTTGTCCCAAAGGCTCTAACTGTGGCTGTGGATACTGAAATGAATTTCATCTCAGGACACTTATCTCCAACCATGAGATTCCTCTGTGGAATCTGAGTGAACTGTCAGTGCTGGCAGTTCCTACACAGAGGACCAGAGAGACACAAGGAGCTCCATCACTTATGTAGAGAAGTAAAGTTGGGATGGATAACAGTGAGCAGCTCTAGAGTCCGCAGGGACTTCCTCACATGGTCACAGCCAAGGTGCAGCAGTGTGGTGTGTTATAGGAGGGAAAGCATACTTCATCTACCAACTACTCTTCAGTGACTGGGACGCACATTTGTGTGGGGAGCTTACTTCACTGGGGTTTCTGAGTACCCAAAGGAAAACTCCAAGCAACAATGAAAGGTTTTGTAGATGGTGAACATGAAGTGAGAGAGCTCTGGGCAGGAATTCCATGGAGCCCCCTGGGTTACTCTCAGTTGCCATCTGTCTTACCTGAAAAACACACCGTGAGTTCACTCTCACTGAGTATTTGGCAGCAATCCGTGTGGCTCTCAGCCTGGAACATGGAGCCTCTGCTGCCTGTACCGAAACTGCTGGTTTAAGAGTAAGTGGGAAACGTGGAGGATCCTTGGGCCCCATCTGCACTTGATTGAGTCAGTCAGAAGGAGATGCGCAATGAGGCCCTTGCATGCTTCATGAAATATGGGTCCCTAGAAATACCCTCCACAAAACCTTCTGACATTTTCTAGCAAAACCAAGATAATAGGGCAAGTAGACAAACAAGGCTTAGCAGCCACTGAGGACAGGAAAACTTAAGCACACACATGCTTTCAGGTCATACCTGCATTGATTGAGCTCATTTGCTCTTTGCCTCCATGTTGCTTCCATGAAATGCCCTTCATATATGAAGTAGAGCAGTTGTTTTTCAATTTTACTTTCTTTTTAATTATACATGTGCATGAGTCTGTGTGAGGGTATGTGTATATTTATTCAGGTTCCCACAGAGGCCTGAAGAGGGCATTGGATTCCATCGAACTGGAGTTACATGTGGTTTGAGACACCTAGGTACTTGGATCCTCTTGGATCCTTGCCCCAAGAGGGCAGTTCTCCAACTCCAAAAGAGCTGGAATGTGAATCCTCATTTTCTGTTAGACTCACTAACTTGACCAGCTGGACCAGAGATTCCTAGTCACAGTTTAATAGAATGTTCTCATTTTATTAATGGAACATGAAGAAACACCAAAATGTGAAGTGGGGGTCCAGGGTTTTTTCAGAGGAGTTAGTTTTCTGCCTCAGAGCCACAAAGTCTTGCTTTTATAAGCTGTGGTTCCTGTCACTTTGCTAGTCAGAGTGTATGAGAGAACCATACACATGGAGGGATTGACTAATCAAACATACAAAGAGACAAACTGACTCACAGAAGTATGCACTCATGTAGACACAGTACAGATGTGCGCACACACATAGACACAACAAAACAACACACACTCATAAACACAACATAGACACATACACAGATAGGTACAACACGCACAGACACAACAAGACAACACACACACACTCATAGACAGATACAACACACAGAGACACAATACAGATGTGCACATAATAGACACAACATAGATAACACACATGCATAGACACAACATAGACACATACACAGATAGGTACAACACGCACAGACACAACAAGACAACACACACACACTCATAGACAGATACAACACACAGAGACACAATACAGATGTGCACATAATAGACACAACATAGATAACACACATGCATAGACACAACATAGACACATACACAGATAGACACAACACATACACATAGACATATACACAGGCACACACTTTAAAAATCTACACTTTGGCTTTCAACCTTCTTTATAAACATTGATTTGGCCATCATTCTAATTTTGTGCTGTTTCTTTGATCCAGGATCTCATTCACAGCATCTATGTGGACATGAACTACTATGAAACAAGAAAGTAAAAATGGGGGAAGAGGGATGATCCCTGGATCACTCAGAGGTAAAATGGACATCGGGGCTAAGCTGTAGCTCCTTTATGATAAGATAATGAACCCTTTCAAATCTGGAAGAGCCATGACATCCAGATTCTAGTCCTAGCTCCAAGACTCTCTAGAGCTCCCTGTAGTAGCAAAGGTTCTCCCAGGTCAATGGAAGGTATGTCTACAGTACTTAACTAGCAGTCTGGACAGGGAAGTGCTCAGAAGATATAATACCTGGATGTTAGCTGCCACTGCTCTTTTCACTGCCCTGCTCTTCCATAGGGTGGAAGTTCTATGTTTCCAGTCAAACGAATGTATACAATGTATATGAAAGTATATTGTTGGCACATAAGGGAAGGAAGGCAGACCACATCTACAATAGTGAGAATCAGAGAGAATGGGCTTCGAGTGCCAGGACAAAGTCAAAGCCAGAGCAAAGCCAGATAGGAAATGATCCACTGCCCAGTTGTGGCTCTTGGTCTCCTTCCCAAAGCTTTATTGGAGGAACTTACTTGCTTCTGGTCTACAGCTGCTTCTGGGAGACAATGGACCTCAGAACCTAAAGTGCTTGCTCTCTGGCCCTGTGCAGAACAAGAGTTTGTCTCTCACCTAACAACATTATGAATGGAAGAGAGAGAGTCCAGAGTACCTACATTTATGAACAAATGTATGAGAAGGGTTGGCTTGGAATATTAGGGAACAGATTATGATTTTTAAGGTAGGAGACCTAGGTTACATTGTCAGCCTTTCTAGCTTTTAGGTACATGATGGTGGGTGATCACCCCCTCTAGGTTTGACTTTTCCAATCTACAAAATGAAGAAGTTGTGTTAAGCTAATTCTGTGTTCACATTCACATTCTTTAATTCTTTGGAAACAGCCTAAGGCGGAGCAGAGGTGACTTGGATCAAAATCCTCTTCATAATTTTAAGCTGAATTGCCTCTTTTGAAAAGGTGGAACTGTGAACCTGGCCTGGACACAGGGATGGATTGAATTCTGAGAGGGTTAAAAAATGCACCCACTTCCTCCCACAATGGAAATGAAGCACAGACTTTATGACTTTCTAAGCTCTGAGGGGACTAGAGAGGCTGCACGGTATAAAGCTATTTTGGGGGTTGTCAGCTCCAATAACCATGTGGTGCAGAAGCAAGAGCCAAGCACTAAAAGCTTTGGGCAGAACTCTGTCCCACAGAGCTTTGTCCCTTGACATAGTGTCAGCAAAGCACTCAGGTTCAGAAGTTTCAAGAGGTTTTTAGAAGTTCTCAGGAGAAATAGATTTTAGCGTTTAAAAATTTTATGCACATATATTTCTTTACATACATATTGACATCTGAATATACTATTACCTGCATCCTGGCCTGACACATACTTTTGAATGAATAAATAAAATCCATTGGGGAATCTATAGTAATATACACTTTCAATTCAGTGAACATTCATTCTCTGGTTATTATATGAATTGTTAGGTCCTTTGGAGGGGCTTCTACCTTACAAAGGGATGAAGTCTCCCAAGCATCCAGGTGATTGCAACAGTGCTCTGAAGGTGGTGTGCGGTGACCAAACCCCAGTCTCATGTCTAGAGCCAACAGGCTGGAAGATACCCATGTTGCTCTCAGAATTATCTGTTATCTAAGGTGCCAGGGCTGGTTAACAGCAAACGAAGGACTGAGATTATCCTTTGGATTCTAGTTCAAAGAGTTTCCTTTTGTATTGTCCTCTGTATATCAACTTCATGTTAGAATGGAACAACCCAGAGAAGCCTTGACCACCACGAGGTATTGTGTGTTCTGGTCAAAGCTGCTGTGCTTCTTCATTTCTTCTTCCATTGTCTCAAGTAGTTGTTGAACACAAAGACTGCATCTTTGTTGCAGTCCAGCTCACTTTGCCAGGGATTAAAAAGAGACCCAGCTTCTAACAGTAACACAGGCTGTCCTGTAGATGTAACCAATCGTCTTATTAAAATAAGAAACACAGAGCCAATGTAAAAGAGAAAGCCTAGAGGTCAGAGCTCAGAGATAAAATCTTACCTCCTGCAGTGCTCCTAGCTTCCGCGAGAGAGAGCTACTTCCTGTTTGTCTGTGTTTAAATAGTCTTTCTGTTCTGCCTTCTCATTGGTTGTAAACCCAACC